AAGTGGAATTAGGGTTAGGGTTTTCATTAATTAATTAATTTAATTAGTAAATAATTAGATTAATTGGTATAATTAACTACCATTTATTATTCGAGTTGTATAACCCTATAACCCATTAAGGCAGACCCGATCCAATATGTAATGGACCTGACCCGCTACAGGAATGGATTGGATCCATTAAAATTTTAACCTGACCTATTATGAAATGGGTCAGACCCATTAATTTCCAGACCCGACCTATTATAGTTTTGACCATTCATTTTGTTTTGGTCGTTACAGATCCGTTTTAAGTCCGATTTGAGTCCATAAATAGTCGTTGGAAAGATTATTCTGTGTAGTTTTCAACTATATAGTTTTTATTTTCATTTTATAAAGTTTTAATACAGAAATTTGGACAATTCATAAAAAATTATTGTATGTACATAAAGATAATTGATTTACCCTGATTATATCCTTAATTCAGATGGGGTAAATATTTGGGTTCATGATAAAACAGAAACAGTATTAGATCAACCTATGAGGTTAAGAAAGATCAATAAAACAATCACTTAGAAATTATGATAGAGTATGTTAGTGTCTTGCCCAAAGGTGACCAACTTATGATATCCTAATTTTCTAAGGTTGAGTTTAGTCTCATTTGGACTGGAAGGTCGCACTTACCAGTGGGTACTGGGTGGACTACTAGTCTTGTTCAAAGGTGTCTAAGAAATCCTCTACAGGATAAGTGGTACAGGATAGCTGAAACATGCCAGTGAGAGGAGAATAACCCTATTGTCCAAAGTTTAGGAAGTGTTCAAATCAAATTGACGCTATGTAGGCTAGTCCTATAGGTGATTATATATATATCACATTTGGGAGGACGAATAGCATATCAAATCACTTGCCCAAAGGTGTGATGAGATGATGCACCCTTCTGTCCCGCAGAGTGGAAGGTTGCATACGTGAAACACTCTGACCTATCCATTCTAACCCTAAATTAGATGTGAAAATATTAAACTTAATAAAATTAAAGGTTTTATTTGATTTATACGTCCATGACTTAATGCAGATGGACGAACAGTTTATCCAGAAGCATCTGACTGGGATTGAGCCCCTCACCGGTTCTAATTATGACAGCTGGAAGGTACAAGTTGAAATAGTACTTAGGTGTCTTGACTACGACTATGTTCTCACTAAAGATAAGGCAGAAGAGCCTGATGAGTCATCAAGTCTATCTGAAAAGAAATCTCATGCTAAGTGGGTCAAAGCCAACAAGGTTGCAATGTTGATCATTAGAACATCGGTGGACCAGACTATTCGTGGAGGGATTCCGGCTTGTGAAACTACTAAGGAGTTGCTTGAGACCATCAAGAAGCAGTTTGAAGGATCCGTTAGAGCGAGACAGTACAATTATCTAGTCAAACTCATTAATCTGAAATATGATGGAAGTGGTGATGTTCGTCAGCACATTTTGAAGGTCTCTCGGTTGATCATTCGTCTCAGGGAGTTGGGACTTCAATTAGAGGATGATCTGACGGATCATTTTGCAGTCGTTTCTCTACTAAGCAAATTTGACACTTTTAAGGTGAACTACAGTTCTCAAGACAGAAAATGGGACTTGAATGAGCTTATTGTTGTATGTGTTGCTAAAGAAGAGCGGCTAAAAATAGGAAAAACTAAGATGGAAAATCTGACACATGGCAAGCTTGGACCAAATAAGACAGGAAAGATATCCTTCAAGAATCAAGGGCATAATAAGGGGAAGAAGTCTTTCGGTAATTTTTTTACTGTTTCTAGCACTTCTTCAGCAAGTGAAAAGGTTGGATGTTTCTTTTGTAAGAAACCTGATCATATGAAGATAGACTATCTGAAATATAAGCAACGGCTGAAGAAGAAGGGAGGTAGGGATTTAGTTCATATTTTTTGTGAAAAAAATTTAGTTGATGTTCTCTCAAATTCTTGGTGGATTGATTCTGGTGCCTCTGTGCACATTTTAACTTCATTAAAGGGAAATCCACAGTCAGAAGGCGAGGACAAATGAGCAGTTGTTTTCGGGAAACTCGTAGCCTTTGGAGGTGGAGCTTGTTGGGACTTTCAGTCTGTGTTTGGATTCAGGAATTTCTTAGTTTTATCAGACACTTTCTATGTACCTTCTATGAGAAGGAATCTTATTTTAGTTTCTAGACTTTCTGGATCTGGTTATAGCTTTGTTTTCGAGAATAATTCTGTTTCTATCAGAAAATGTTTGGATTTTATCGGACATGGTTTTTTAATTGACGGTCTTTATAGATTAAATCTGGATGTAATTTTTCCTTCCCCTCTCTGTATGTCAGTGAATTCATCTTCTTCTAATATAAAGCGTCCTAGGCTTAATAGCAATTCTTCCATATTTTGGTATCAAAGATTAGGACATGCTTCAAGAAAGCGATTGGAATCCTTAGTAAAGTCTGGTGTTCTTGAACAATTAGATTTCTCTCGTTTTGGTACATGTGTTGACTGTATCAAGGGAAAGATGACTAAATTGAGAAAATTTAAAGTCTCCAGGAGTGAAGGTCTCCTTGACCTCATTCATACAGAAATTTGTGGACCTATTCCTACTCCCTCTCATGGAATGAAGGTCTCCTTGACCTCATTCATACACAAATTCACACAGATATTTGTGGACCTTTTCCCACTCTCTCTCGTGGTGGTCAGCGATACTTCATTTCCTTCATAGATGATTTTTCGCACTATGTCTATATTTTTCTACTTCACCACAAATATAAAGTATTGGATGTTTTCAAGATCTTTCAAGCTGAAGTTGAAAAACAGTTAGAAAGAAAGATTAAATCTGTGCGTTCTGATCGAGGTGAGGAATTCTATGGTAAAAACGATCAGGACGGCACAAATCATGATCCCTTCATTGAGTACTTGAGGTCACAAGGCATTGTTCCTCAGTATACTCTCCTAGGTTCTCTGCAGCAAACTGGAGTAGCTGAAAGAAGAAATTGTACTTTATCAAGATGTTGTTCGAAGCATGATGAGTCATTTAGATTTGCCTGAAAGTTTTTGAGGTGAAAAATTGAAGACAGCTGTATATGTCATAAATCGTCTTCCTTGTAAGGCAGTAGCTGAGACTCCGTTCAAGCTTTGGACTGGTAGGGATCCTAGTCTTAGTCATATGCGTGTTTGGGGATGCTTAGCAGTTGCGCGACCTTATAATCCAGATATTAAGAAATTAGAAGCCCGAACAGTATTACGTCACTTTATCGGCTATCCTACAAGATCTAAGGGCTACAGGTTCTATTGTTCTTCTCGGTCTAACCAGTTCTTTGAGACACAGCATGCTGAGTTTTCTGGAAGATCCTAATGCTTCTTCAGAACATCGCGGTCTGAGTTTTGAGGAAGTTTTAAAAGATGAGCAGTCACTTCCGTTATTAAATGTCATCTCTAGATTCCCTACTCTTCCAGATAGCATTCCACCTCCTCCTCCAGTTCAAGAAAGCTTTGTACCAACGGAAGAGCCACAACCTGTTAGAAGATCCTCTAGAGTCAGAAGATCTGCCATACCTGATGACTATGAGGTCTATCTTCAGGAAAGTGGATGCATTGATCCAGAATCTGATAATCCCTCATCATACTCAGAAGCTAGAGATAGCATTCATGCAGCTGATTAGCTGAAGGCTATGAAAGAAGGGCTTCAATCAATTGAAAAGAACTCTGTTTGGGAGTTGGTACCTTTGCCAAACAAAGCTAGAGCAATAGAATACAAATGGGTCTTCAAGACCAAAAGGGATTCTGAAGGAAACATTAAGAGATTTAAGGACAGGTTAGTGGCTAAGGGTTTCAAGCAGAAAGAAGGGATTGATTACGTCGATATTTTTTCTCCAGTATCTAAGAAAGACTCTCTCAGGATAGTTCTTGCTCTCGTCGTCCATTTTGATCTTGAGCTCCATCAGATGGATGTCAAGACGACATTCTTGAATAGAAATCTAAATGAGGAAATCTTTATGGTGCAGCTTGAAGGGTTAACAGTTAAGAAAGATCTGGTTTGCAGATTAAAGAAGTTAATATATGGTCCCAAACAGGTTTTAAGTGATATTCATCTCCTACATGAGACTAAGGATTTTCTTTTGAGACATTTCGATATGAAAGACCTCGGAGATGCTCATTATGTTTTAGGCATCAAGATCCATGAGATCAGGCTAAATGCTTGTTGGGCTTATCTCAAAGGGCTTATATTGGGAAAATCCTTCAGCGATATGGCATGAAGTTTTGTGCACCAGGTAAAGCTCCAATTGTCAAAGGAGATATGTTCAACAAATCTCATTGCCCGTGAAATGAAGTTGAGCGTAGGCTCGTGAACTCTAAGGAGTATGTCTCTGTAGTTGGCAGTCTAATGTATGTGGTGTCATGTATCAGGCCAAACATCAGTTATATCGTGGGAATATTAGGCAGGTTTCAGCAAAATCCTGGTGTAGCTCATTGGAAAGCTATAAAGAAGGTTTTGCGGTATTTGCAGAGGACCAAGGATTTTATGTTGGTCTACAGAAGGTCTGAAAATCTAGAAGTCATCGGTTATTCAGATTCAGATTTCACAAGATATGCTGATAGCAGGAAATCAACATCAGGTTATATATTTCTGCTTGCTGGAGTAGTTTTCTAGAAAAGTGCCAAGCAGTCCTTAGTGACGACATCCACTATGAAGGTAGAGTATGTTGCTGTTTTTTTGAAGCAACATTGCACGCCTCTTGGCTCAAAATTTTCACCAGTGAACTAAAAGTGGTGGGTTCCATTCAGAGACCAGTAAAGTTGTATTGTGACAATCAGGCAGTCGTACAGTTTATAAAGAACAAGAACTTTTCCGGAAAGAATAAACACATCGGTGTGAAGTACTTGTTAGTCCTTGATAAGGTCGAACAAGGATTGATTGAGGTTCCTCATCTGTCAACTCAGTTGATGATTGCTGATCCTTTGACCAAGGGAATTTTTTTAGGACTCTTCAAGGAACATGTCTCGAGTATGGGTGTTTTAGAGTCTTTCGATTATATATTATCAGTGAGATTTAGTTGTCGTAGTAGTTTTGTTCTATTTTCAAGTACTATATTCTGGATTGCTTTGAGCTCATAAAGAAACTATTGTGCTAATTTTTTAGCAGTTTGATATTTTCAAGCATTGTGTTATTGATCATTGTTGCTTGATATACATTTTTAAAGTAAAGAAAACTAAAGTTTAAAGTAAAGAGTTTCAAGTTAATCGTAAAGAAACTCGAATTAAAGATAGTGGTCCATAGAGTCATAAAGATTAAAATAAAGAGACTCTTAAATTTGTGCAGAAGCTGAATGTGATTGTGCATCATATTTGAGGCTTTCGTTCTGGACTAAAGGTGATAGTTTTCACATGGCGGATGTCGGTAAAAGTTTCAGAACGGCATACACGTTTGTGGATGTTGCAGAGGACACTTAAGGGCGTACATCGGATTTGACCATAAGGGATGTACGGCTCTATTACACTCCACTAAAACCACTATAAGAAAAATGTCTTTAGAACATTAGTGGTACTAGCGGTTGGACCGTGGAGTGACCTTGTACCATATTAGAGCATATAGTATTTTCACGATCAAGCATTAGTGGTACTTTTGTTTTAAGGAAAAGGTTTCAGAAACTATCCTAATTAGAATCATGGCAACAAGTTGTTTTCTAAAATAAATGGGTGCGCACCCGACTTTAAAAGTTTTCAAAAAATTAAATGTTTTTTTAAATTAAAATGAGGTATGTTGTGCCAAGTGGGAGATTGTTGGGTTCGATTAATCCAACGAACTCATGTGGTCCAACCTACTCGTTTTTGGATTTGATTTAAAGTTGTCATCGATTCAAGTTAGGATCAGGATGCTAACCACATGGTCTGGTTAGATAGTTTTCTATTTATCAAGTTGGGTGGTTATCTTGAATATCTAAAGGATAGGATCGATCGGAGTGTAATCCTACGGTTGTGATTAAACCATGATGGGTAGGGTAATCACAAATATCTATTTAAGGGTGGGAGTCCCTCCTCTCAACCGTACGCAGAAAAGAGACTAAATTCCCATCGTTGGCTACGGGAGAAGAGAGGAGAAGACTTCCATTGTTTTCGACGGTGAACGATAACTTTAATCTGAACTATTCATGTCTAGATCGTTAAATAATCCAACAATTCAATTTCTCGATGAACATTGAGGAACATTTGCATGGGGACAACTAGGTATAAATGAATTCAATGATTGTAAACAACAATGTTATTACTATGCTGGGTTCAGAAATCAAGGGAAACGAAGTGGACGAGCAAGCAGGTTTTGATGAGCTCTACTACGGGCCTTTTTTTTTTGGTTGACATATGAATTTCAGTATGACTGAATGTGCAGGCAACTTTGACAAATAATCCTGCTGGCATAGAATAAAATATGGTACCACGTGCAAATTTCTATTAATAGTCAAAAAAAAAATCAACATATGGCCTATTAGTCATCAAAAGGTATCTCACGTGTACAATTGACAGCATTATGATATCCCAAAATATAGAATTATATAGATCAAATTTAGAATTATATAGATCAAATTAACAGTACATAAAGATATGAGTTTAAATGTTATTTCCCCAGAAATATTTATATCTTCTTTAACAACTACTCAAGTTTAGCTAATCAAGTTATAGAAGCATACAACATTTATTCTAATTTATTCTAATAAACTAATAGTAAGATCCAAAGGAAAAGAAAAATGAATAGAAGTTATATTAGAATAATGAATGGGTGATGATTTTTCTTTTTTTTTGTTTCATATGTATTACTTTGTGTGTGTGTGTGTTTCGAGGGGTAAGCACAAAAAGTACACAAGTATCCAAGCAAATTATAGACAGAGAGAGTGAATGTTCAGCTACTTACTTGCATGCGATGAGACCGACGGGTCCTGATACACGACTTTGCCATATCAACAAGCTTTTGTCTCTCCTCAAGGGTTTCTTTGCCTTTTGTGTACAAAAGGGACTTTCTAGAACTCATACTAACTTGGTCGGTGTTTTCTCCATATGCATCCTAAAGAGATCCATACCAAAAAATAATAACTATCAATATCCCAAGTAAATATCATATACTGAACATAGGTTTGTGGCACAATGAAGTCCTGCCAGACACCAACTTTCGTGCAAGTGTACAGTTAGTTGCGGTGGTGAACAACTTGGAAGCCTGGAAGGGGCTCTTTTTTCGTGCCTATTATGGATAGTAAAATAATGGAACAGATTAAAGTTCAAATGCTCCTATAAGGAATTGGATTGAATGGGAACAACTACTATTAATTATTCCAGTATATATAGACAATCTACAAAATTTGATCCATTTTGGATATTATTATACTATCGTTACATGTAGTAGTATTTGTTAACCTGAAAACATAAGTATCAACAAACTGTCATTTTGTTCCAAATAATGATGGCTAACTTTGCTATTAAATCTTTTCTTAGGAATTGGATTGAACGGGAACAACTGCTATAAATTATTCCGGTATATATAGACAATCTACAAAACCTGATCCATTTCAGATATTATTATACCCTAGTTACATCTACTAATATATGTTAACCTTAAAACATAAGTATCAACATACTGCCATTTTGTTCCAAATAATGATGGTTTAACTTTGCTAATAAATCTTTAAGTGCTACATGGAGTCATGGACATTTAATTTTGTCATGTCCTTAAATGTTAGTCCCCTGAGGAACTATATGAATGATTTAGGCTTGTTTAATGGTTTAGTTTGGATTCATAGGTTTAAGTTCTGTACAATCATCTTCAAATAATCAGGCTGTTGCTAAATTGAGCATTTGGAATAGGGGATGCAGACACTTAAAAATTTTGGATTCCAATGGATATTCTACGAATTTGGAAAGCTGATTATATTTTTATCCTATTTTGAACAATTTGATTCAAGTTTTCCCCCCCATTATAGGAATATGGATTTAGGTTTAGTTTACTTTAGACAGAGTTACTTTGCATTTTCCCCAAACTTACAGGCATCAACATGACAGACTAGAATGAATGTCAGTATCAATATCTAAATAAAAACATATTATGGAACATACCAAAGAACTGCAAAATTTCTCTTGTGAAATCTAGAGTACAAAACATATGATTGTGACTTAAAAATTTAGGAAAGGAAGAAACGATGCAACTTGTACTGAAGAGGGCAATCAGAAATTACCTGTTGATTTAGTGTAATCTGACCATTTTCAAGAACCATTCCGACCTGTCTTGCTAGATCAGAAGATAAGTGCACAAGCCGTTGCAAGGATTTCTCCTTTACTGTTTTCAGGATCCACAATGGCTGAACAATTCAGATTAAAGCATAAGGAATTGCCTCAAACTACTATCAGTACATGCCGTGTTTCTGAACAGGATTTCTGAACAGGATAGAAGATGATGAATGTTGAGAGAATACAAGACAATGAAGTGATCCTTACCGTTACAAGGTGATTAGTATGACCGATGTATCTCCAAATAGAAGGACCTTCACAGACAACATGGCTTGCAGGACAACCAATAAACCATTGTTCCAAGATCATTGCACCTTCTCTGGTAGCTGCATCAACAACCTATAGGCAGGGTCCATAGGAAAAATAGGTGAGTATTGTTAATATAATTTGCATGATATACTTTGTTATAAAATCTTGTCCAACAACGTCATTTTAAGACATCCAATTAAACAGCATGAGATGTAAGGTTAATATTGGAGGATGCGTTGGAATTTACACTTCATAGATGAATTATTTCCCAACAAAATGAGTTACGAACCTTATAAGTTATCGGAACAAGAAAACTATACTCTCGCTCACAGACACTATCCCAACTCTCGCTAATTGTTGGAACAGGTTATTATTCCAATCAGATGATGTTGTACTGAAGCAATCAGCAATTACCGCCTCTAATGCTCCACAGGAAACGGGACGTCAATAAACTACAAGGATGGAAAAAAAACCTGCTGACGAACATGCCCTCGCCAAGCTTGCAATGAACAATTACTTAACCTAAGAAAACATATGCTAGGAAAATTTTAAATTGTCTTAGCTGTAAGGTCCTACTACACCTTTTAAAGATTGCAAGTTATAAAGAGATATAGCAGTAAAAGTGGTCATTTTTATGCACTAATAATGAACCCAACAGAGGTATTATGGGGGTCTTATGAACATGATATTCATTTATCAAGTGTCCTTTCTAATTTGTTTAACTTCAGTTAAATAAATATAATTTTACCATTAGACAGCCTCTTTTATCTTCTGAGTGTGGAGGGGTCAGAATAAGGACGTTAAATCAAGTTCTGAACTGACTAATGACTATGTTGCCCGAAAAGGGAAGTTCTGCTATGTACAAAATCTAATGTGTTCTTGCATGTTATTCCCATATACTTCTCTTACTACGTATCACCATGTTGAATAACTACAATAGATTAGTGACATTAGTCCCTTTCAAAATTTTAACTTTCTTGCATAAAAATCCTTAATTAAACATACTTAGAGTGTGCTAAAAGAATATTTTGACTTTACGGTCACAACGAAAATATCTGCAGCCATAAGTATGGCTATCTCTTGAAAGTAGGCTTAGAAAGAAAACACCTATAGCGGAAGTCAAGATAGGAGAGATTGATTAGTATTTAAACTGTTCATTTCTACCTTAAAATCACACTAGTGGGCTCTAGCATCCACTTGGTTAATATGTTCAATGTGTACCACTATATAAACTAGCTCTTGCCAACCAAAGTTCCGTAACTCACAAGGGAGGATCATTTTCAGTCCTATCAAGATCCTAGTCCACAAGAAAAATACATATTATCTTTTCAGCTAAAGCCAATAATCATAAGTTACCATATCCAATTTTTTCTATATTATCAATTCACGTTCAAAACTTAATGCTTTGAACATTGTATGAAAAGCTTTAACTTAAAAAAGGTTGACTTTAGGGAGCATTACTTTGAACAACTTGCACTCTTCAAACCCCTTTTAAAGAATGGTCCACTTAACTACTCTTAAGCAAAATAAAGAAAACTAATGAAATAACTAGTACTTAAATACCTTTTAGTTTCCCCGACTTAAAACTTATATACCCTCACTTGTTCTGGCAGCTATTATGTACCCTGAAAGTTTCAAATAGACATTTTAGTATTTCTTATGCAAACGTGAGAAAATTCCCTTGACTACTATGACACTCATAAACTAATTTTAAAACTTTTTACCCCTTAATGTTTGTTGAATGGGGATCTAAAATGCTAATTTTAGAATTTCCCCCCATTTTATTACGGTATGTTTAAAATAGAATTATGGTGTGTTTGGGAACTTGGATTTGGGCCTGGATTTAAAATCCAGGGTATTTCAAATCCAAATATCAAGTTTGGGTTCTGATTTGGACCTAGATTTTAAAATCAATTGATTTAACAAAGAGGAATTTGAAAGCCCAAAACAACTGATTTTAAATTTAACCCCACCCTGTCATTTATCAAATCACGACCCGATCATTTAACAAAGAGGAATTTCAAGTCGCGATCCCCCCTCTCTCTCTCTCTCTCTGGTTTCGATCTCCCCCTCTCCGCCTCCCCTCGCCGTCGCCTCCCCGCACCGTCGCCTCC